CCACCCCTGTCTCATAGCCACTTTTTCCGATCCTCCAAATTTACTACAAAAATTTCCAAAGTCACACGTAAAGGACAAATACCTATAGGTGGTGACGCGGGCGAAAATTATTATTTTCCAATACTAACCTATAAAGTCAGTAATTTTAACTTGGGTCGTCCAAAAACTGATACCGGATGTTATCCGGAGGAGTGCAGACCGACCATAGAAATATGTCCGTTACATCTAGTCATCGGCAATGGGACGCTACGGGTATTTAAAAGGACTTTGGCCGTTTTGTGATTTTTCCGTGAGAAATCGAGGATACCAATAGGACGCGAACCTGTAATTTCCGTTCTACGGAATGATTCAGTAGGAAAGACAGACAGTTGAATCAACAACCTGTTGAAACACCTTTCACGTCGCGGATATTAAAAAGAAAAAAAAAAAAATTCCCTGACATTTTGTTCGCGTGCGATTTTCGTATAAACGATAGCGAATGAAGCAATTACGTACGAATTATTAATTCGTCGTATTATCGATAAATCTTCATGCATATTATTGCCAACTGCGATTCTATCGATAATTTCGTACTTTGCTCGAACACCAATAGTTTAAAGCCTCGTAACGATCGATCCAATGAAAAATACTCCATAACCGACTTCCATTTGATTAACGTTGTTCCCACTGGTCACGTGAGTCCGTAAATCTCATAACCTCGAAATACCCTCGCGCGCGCACTTGACGAGAACTCGAGATAAATTGCACTTGGCTAAGCTCAGTGTTTCCTAGTTTTATCAAAGATCTATGTGCGCGGGTCGTCTATTAAATCAAGGTTAACGAATTGCTCAACGGATATGAATTCTGAGTCCGATTTGATTTGTCGGAACTGGCATTGGATTTTGAAAAGCGTCAGGCTGTCGTATCTTCGGTGAGAGTAGAAGACGACGAGGAAAGACTCAGAGAGAGAGAGAGAGAGAGAGAGAGAGAGAGAGAGAGAGAGAAAATTACTTGCACTTTGGCGATCAGCCAATGGCACCGCACCGTTTACGCTTCCTGAACCTCCCGGTGAGAAAAGGCAGTTTAGGAGAAGAAACGAAATAGGAAAGAAGAAGAAAAAAAAGAGTAAACAGCCAGATCTTAATGCTTTAACATTCCTGTTTACGCGCCTTGCAATATACGCGCTCGCGCGCGGCTTTATCTGATTTCAGTCGATGAGACGTTAGGTAATGACGCACGAGGCTGCCGAGTATATCCCGATGTTGCATTCGATGATATACGTTTTGTTTATACGGCATAATTAACAAGATTTCAAGTCAAATAATCTCGTCGCTATTTAATCGCACGTGGACCAATTTTCTTTGCTGAAATTTCTTATTATTCCCGTTAAAAGGGTATTGGCGGGAAAGTGACATTCGAATCGAATGCAATTATTATTGCGGGGTTGAGGAGAAACGCTATGGCAAGATATTTGCATTTTTTCTTTTATTTTCAAGTATATAAAATTTTGTGAAAAAAATTCTTTTCTTCTTCCTCCCTCGACCCACTAGCTTCAGCTCAATGAATTTTCAATTTCTAATTATACCTTGCCAATCCACGAGTGTATTGACGAGCTATGCTTATCCGATTGACAATTGCTCAAGTTCATCTTTGCCAAAGGTCAATGTCTACCTTGTAAACAAAACTGAGCCAAGATTTACAGTTTGTTCTAATAATACAATTATTCCTGTACGAGTGTACTAGAAAATTTGCGCGTGCGAACAGCGTTTTTGGTAAACATACGCACGAGTGATGCAAGCGTATAAAGGGTAAACGTAATGAAATGAATTTTTTTTTTTAAATTGTAGATAAAATTCCTGCGGTTCGTTTTAAACCTTTATTTTTTTTTACCTTAATTCTTTTCCCAATTAAGCTCGACCAACTTCCTTATTTGTGATTCCACCGACAATGCCTCTGCCCCTTGCCCTTCTTTGCCCCACTCGTAACTCAATGGCTTTCAACATTAAAGTCAAGTTGCAAAGTCAAAGGCTGTGAATAACAAGGGCCAAAAAGTAGGAAGCTTGTACCGCTGTGTTTGAAGTGAATTGAAAGATCCTTTTAATAAAGAAGAAAAATTGGACGTATCTTTAAAAAAAAAAAAGCTTAATTCACCGTAAAGAAAAGATACGCCCGATACCATCGCCATTTGGTAGGTAAATTAACGTCAAACGGTCCTCTTGGCACAGGCGCCGTATCAAATGAATTTCAAGCGACAATTCTCAAGTTTGAGAAATCGCTTAAACCAGAAAAGTTAAACCTAATCAATTATCTCGTTGAAGTAGCGTTAAGATAGATTAGAAAAGAAAAGTACAATTCTATAATTAAATTTATATTCCTAATCAACCCTTCAAAAATCACTGCCCACAACATTCGCTCAAAAATTTTTTCGCAAATTTACCAATTATAATATATTTAAAAAAAAATACTAAATAATTTTGACTCACCATTCTCGCCCCATCACATGTCAGTCTCCTGGTGAACGTCGATTACCTCCAAATTTCCTTCTACGTCAGGGCTGAATGACGGACCGGGATATTTGAGAGTATACAAGAAAAAAATAAAGTTTTATCAAACAAAAAAAAATAAAGAAATCTTCCCCGATACGATCACGAGTTCTCCGAAATATTTTAAGCTTCGATACACGCAACCAGCGAAGTGCGTTAAGAACGCACAACGAGGATCAACACGGAATTGATGCGCACACGCGTAAGACGCGAGACCGACTAAACTATGCCTCTGGCACGAAGTAGCCCCTGCACAGCGCCACCTGCTCAGCACGTCGCTTATCAACTCGACCAAACTATATATATATATGTGTATATATATATATATATATATATATATATCCCTAAGAGAAGAATATATCCCCAGTATCCCCGGTATATAGTACATAGTATATCCATCTACAGTATACAATATAGTATACAGTATATATGCTACATATCCCTAAGAGAAGAATATATCCCTAGCCCCTGCACAGCGCCACCTGCTCAGCACGTCGCTTATCAACTCGACCAAACTATATATATATATGTGTATATATATATATATATATATATATATCCCTAAGAGAAGAATATATCCCCAGTATCCCCGGTATATAGTACATAGTATATCCATCTACAGTATACAATATAGTATACAGTATATATGCTACATGGGGATCAGTTTCTTTAGTACTTTAGCTATTGTACAAATGGTACTTGAGCCAAGATATAAGTAAGTCTATTCAGCACGAGTATAAATGGATCTACGTGTGCAGGTATATAACCACGGTGAAACTAAAGAACGCGATTACGACTAGTAATGCATAAGATGCATATGCAGGGCGCATATGTGAAAAAAAAATTATAAATATTCGAAATACGTCCAAGCGGTATTACAGGGTCCAGGTAAAATCTGCTTCCCACGTTAAAACCATAATTTCTCAGTGTAACGAGGGACGGTTTGAAAGTGAATAAATTTTTTTCATTAGAGAAAAAAAATTAAATTTCAATAGCTACGATTCCACGTGACACGAAGGATCGAAACTCCAATAAGAAAAGAGAGCTTTGTTAGGAGTTGCGAAAAAAAATATTTTGCATGAATTTTTTGACGTAACGCCGTACGGTGATTTTTAGCAGATTCACGCGACTTCGGAACCACGCTTTGCGCGATAAGGTTGTTCAAAGCAAAGGAGCGCGTTACTACTTTAAATAAGTTACCTTTGAAGTCGAATCAAATATTTTTTTTTACTCGCTATCCTTTTCTTTCTTACGTACGAATATTTTAGGATATCGGTAACCACGCAAACGCTTTGTACATTTTACACGGGCTCGATTTTCGTTCGCTCTGCCACCCCACTTCCCCTCCTTTCCCCCTCCCTATACGCGTCCATTAACCCTGGAAGGGTTTCTCACCCTTAGTTCAGACTCTCACCAACTTCTTCATGTAAATCATATACGGAAGTTTTGGAATTTTCAGGATATTAATGACTGCCGTATATGGGTTGTTTGATAATTTTTGTTGGGTTATTTTTGAAATTAAAAAAATGCCCGGGATGAGTCAGTTGGAAATTTATGATGGATTCTATCGTGGTTGGATATATTTGCATGTTTTGTAAGTGATCGAGGTAGTGTGCTGTAACGATAACGTCCTGATAACGAAAATTGATAGTGCAATTTTCGCAAATCAATCGGTGCCGCATACTTTGGTATAAAGTCTTTCGCGAAACGATTCGATTGGTAAGGGAATTTTTGTTTTCGATTAAAACTGAAATATCGGTAGTTTTGAAATTATTGATTGATTATCGGTAGTAGGACGAAGTTTATGTTGTCTTTTTGTGTGCTTTGTAATGAACCATTGTTGTGGGATTAATTTTTATTCTTTAATAAGGATACGAAGTCAGGATTTTATATGGTAAAATATTAAAATTTTCATTGAGTTATTCGGTGTTTTATCACGACGAATATTTTTCAATATAAATCTCTTTATTCTAGTCGATGACAATCGGTATCGTCTTCGTGATAGTTATCAAGCGTATCTCGTTCACAATTCAAAATTAATTATATTATTTTTATTATATAAAAATATTCGAGTAAATTAGACTAAAGCGATTAACTCTAAATATTGAATAATTTTTAGGAACGTTCCTACGACTATGGAAAGTCATGTGCGCCAATGTATATAGAACTGTAGTAAATGACAGTTGACAGTTGCTTGTTTGGAAATTTTTTTAAAAATTAAGATATAAATCGAACGAGAAACGCACGGTAAAATTATTACGAAGAAAATTGAAATTAATTTATAAATAAAAAAAATCTATTATGGATCGTCATTGGAGGAAAATGATTTTTCGAACATTTTTAATTAATCTAAATTGACTTGTCATATTATAATTACCTGTTTCTCATCCCTTTATTAGCTTATTGGGATCTTTTAAAACGAAACACGTAATTTCTGGAAATTTTTAAAACCGATGAAGAACAAGGATATTTGATCGTTTATCATTGAAAAAAAATAGTTGATCCATTTGGAACTCGAGACGATAGAAAATTCTTTGACCATAATCGAGATATGCGAATTTTCTATGATATCCGAGTACCTTAAACCTTGAAGTAACCCGCCATCTGTTCAATCTTCCCTTTTGAGACTTTGAAGTCGAAAATTCCATTTTATGGGTTACAGCTATGTAAACTTAACTAACCTAAAACTTCTCATAGGATATTTTACTATTATAATTCAACTGTCTAGAAGTATAAAAACATATTGCTATAAAATAGCTATTTATTTATGGGATAATCAGACTAGTATTTAACAGATTGATTTCTATGGTGCTTGACAAAGTAATAATGAGGATTGCAATTGAACTTTTCTTTTAATGTAATCGGCAGTACAGAAATAATTTTTGAAATTTCAACAATAATCGTAACATTGAGAAGTTTATCAACAACCAAAAAACAGGAATGCCTTTATATAGAAGTCATCAGTTTAAATGAAAAAAATGCATGGACTTGGGCATTCCAATGTGAAATTCATATTTTAGGAAAATGCATTAAGATATTTGTATCATTGTCAGAGAGATATTAACAAGGAAATTCTTTGTACATAGTTGTATATCACGTGCTAAGAAAATGCAACGAATGAAATTCTTTTATTTTTTTTTTCATTAACAATGAAAAAAAAACGCAGAATTAGAGATAGATACTAGGAATCAATCTGATCTGTCACAATTCTGGAAAACAATAGTACAAATTTTTCTGTCTTTGAACAAGATTAAAAATGCAATTATCTTTCAAAATTTGTGCATCGTTGCATCAAGAATACCACATACACGTACTCTTCCTACACGTTTCATCTCGACCACGTCGATCAACGTCTACGCGAATGTTTTGGATGTGTCAAATATGCTTTACACTATTTGATAAACTTCTTTCTTTAACAAATGTAATAATGATATCACAATAATTCTCGATGCAATTCAATTAATACTAAGACATCTTCGTCTTGAATTAATATTCATATTCACAAATATATATAATAAAATGCGACGCTGTCGAGCAGAACTGCATTTACCTCGAGGGACCCGAGGAATCGACTGGGCAAGCGTCAACGCGAATACATAAAAAATATAAATACTCATAAAGCATTTGAATCGTCACTAATATTTTCATTTGCGTAAAAAAAAAAGCGGTTTGCAAGGTTTTCAAATTCACGTGAATAATAATCCATCTATGAGTTCAGCCACTGCAAAAACTTGATTAGGACATCACAGGGAGGGCTGCAGAGTATGGATAAACTTGTAGGAAGCACCAGAAACACGGTTCGTCAATGGATCTCTGAGGATTCAATTCAAGGTCATCTTGTTAACGTTCATGAAAGTCGTATCAACCGACTTAGCATTTACTTTTCTTGGATCTACGAAGATCTCAGTGTGCTCGCGTGTTCCCTCAAGAGACTCATAAACTCTATAAGTGCGGTAGACAATGACGCCTCGACCACCTTTGGGGGTAGCCAACCTTTCAAGTTTGTATTCATGATCCAGGTGAAGCGACATTTGTTCTCATCTTCTACGATGTTCTCCGTGGCCCAACAACCGACGCCATTTTCCCCTCTGCAAAAGGAAATGTTTAAGTTTCATTCTAAATCAATAAACAGTCTTATGAGTTATCTAATTCTAGTGAACGTTACCTCACGAAGCCCTTGCGCACTGGAATGGGTGAGAATTGTATGGAAGTTCCGCAGCTTATGAAAAAATCATCCTTCTTGCCACAACGTCTCAGAATTACAAAATCACGAGCGCTTACCATTCCACCGCCCTGGGCAGAGGTGGCTTGATAAACTATATCAGTGTTCTCGTCTATTGGCTGTACAGAGATAATAATAATAATGAATACAATGGTATCCTGGATTCTGATAAATTTCCAAAAATTTATATATTCATCCTTCCTTATGAATTACCTGTATCTTTTTCGACTCTGCCACGAGTCGGTTCCAGCTTGGAATTGCTTCAATGTGTTTGAACAGATCGTCCAGCAAGGCCCAGGCAGGCACGTCGATGATACCCTTGAACAAGCAAAGAGCAGATTATTCATTGATAATCATCAACGGGCACGAGGGGAACCGTGAATTAAAGAATCGAATTATGAATTTAATGACAACTAACTTGGCAAGCTAGCAAGCTCAAAGGAACCGTCGTGTCTGGTAAGATAAGATATAAATTTCTTCATCCGAGTCAAGTCCCCAAGTCAATGTAAAAGTTGTTTCGTCTAGCGAACCATGTCTACGTGAGTTTCTTCGAGCTCCTCGTTCCCATAGGGCTTACCGTGATCTTGAAAATTCTTCCATCCGGTTTAGGAAGACTCATCGAGGATATGACGTCACCCTCCGTGGTAATACTTTCGTCTTTCCAGTTGGAGGACATCAGCAACTCGTAGGCACGATCCAACGTAATTGCCGCCACTCTCTTGTATTCGTCAACCTGAGGGAACAAATAAAATTCTTAGCTAATGATTAACGAGCAGCAAGAACATACGAGTAACAGATGACAACGATCATCGACTTGAAGGAATGATTAGAGTAATTGGATACACGTGGTTACGTCAAGCTCCTTTTTCTCTTTAAGGACTGAACAAACACAAAGAACATTTCAGTCTATTCTCCATGAACTTTATTTACCTGCAACAGGTGTCTTCTGAATCATTCAAGAATCAGTCATCGCAATTACTCTACTACGTACATTTCACTGACCATAGAGAATATTCAAAGACTGATAAATCCATTTTATAACATTCACAACGCAATCCTTATTTGATTTACTGATATTGTTTATTAAAACACTGTATATATATTTCGAATCGCTAATCCCGTGGTTGTAATCAAAATGCAAATTTTCAGAAACTTACACCAGCAGAACACGTGCTACTGTCCAATACGTCTATGCCCTGTATTACGTCCCATGTATTACAACTGGAATGACGTTTCTTCTGCACTCGGCGTTCTCCGAAGAAGAATCCTCTGAGGAACCTCATGTCGCACGCGACGAACAAGACTGAAGGCAAAACCATTGGTATTCTCTTTATGTAAATCGCTGTGAAGTAAGCGCGATCAAGATCAGACGGCAGCTGGTTCAAGAGGAATTACAGATGCCGATGATATTCAAAGGCACAAGAAGAAGAAGGAAAAGAAATATGTCAATAATGGAATACAGCAAGTACGACACTTCGTGAAGTTCCAAAAAGATGGTTCTTTGTGAATTATACCGTTATGTGCAATTATATCACTTGAAAAATTCGTTGGGCAGATCGATGTACGTGGTGGGCTGACGAATGATTAACTGAGCGTCTGATTAGTGGAGACTAAGATTTATATTTTGTGTGAAAAAGAAAAACCGTTGAGTATGAGTTAACAGTGCAGGTGCAGTATGATACATTTTCTGTATATAGGATTGAACAGTAATTAACACATTGCGTACGGGTCACGAGATATCTCGTTTTCATGATTTTTTTTCGATTCAATGTGCAACTTAAGCAACGAGCGGCAAATATTTTTGTTATCACGTTAAACAAGCCTCTCCCATTCTTAAGACAAATGATGAGCAAAATAATTGAATTTTGACATTCGCAGCAGTAGCTCGCTAGACATTGTAGCCAGTACCTCAGGTCCTCGGTAGATCTGTGCCGATCGTTGTACGTACCGTATCTTATAAAGTGTTCTTTTATTCTCCATTTTGGAATTTCAATGTGTTAACACGACTACTATTAAAATTTACAGGTACAATTTTTTAATAAAAGTTATATGGTACACAAGGGGCTAACGTATGGTGATAACCATTTTATAGCCTATGGGGCTTACGAAATTAGAAGGTGAACTAATTTTTTTAATTTCTCATATTGGTATGTTGTCTTTTCATGATACAATAAAGAATCTTGAAAAAAGAAAGACTCTATGATATAAAATTACTTTAGGTTATCTATAAAAATATAATGTCCCACATAAAAAAGCGGAAGAATTTATTTATATGTTATAAGTGATAGAAAAACCTTATTTAATTGATTCCTGCACATTTCAGAAGCCACATGTCCTACTTTCTTTTCCTAATCTGCAGTTGCCTCTGACTCAAATACTTTTGGATATACTGAGCGTGACAATAAGTTATTGCCCTTGCTGTATATATTTGTATAAATCTGCTTGTAATCACTGAGCTATTCTCTATCTTATTAAAAAAGCAAAATCACCATGGTGCATGTAATTATTATAACTTTTAACTATCAGCTGTCCACCAGCCTGATGTTACGATGTACTTTTTCTTTTTAAATATCAACCATAAAGTTCAATTATTAAAAAAACATTTACAATATTTTAAATAGTGAATAGAAGCAAATCATAATTTATTTGACCTATGCTAGTACTATTAATTGTACTTAATTGTTGACTAATAAACGTGGGGTTCTGCCTACGCGAGTTGTGAAGAAAAAATTACTACTAATAACTACTAATAACATCTTGCATGTCAAACAATATTCAATGTATCTACAGTGAAAGTTGCTGCTAAATTAACTGAATTAATTTAATTAATCATTCCCTCTAGTGCGATTCATGTCGTATCTTCTGGCATACAAAATATGAATATAAATAATAATAAAAAAAACAAACCTTTTGGCGAGACAATCTTGGCAGGATTGGTATAACGAATTCTTCTGACGTTCTTATTGATCGTCTTGAATTATTTTGTCTTGGAGTATAATCCTCATCGTCGGAACGATCTGGTGTATCCATGGGGGTATAAAAATTCGCAACACTCTCTGTATATTGACCAGCACCGGTTAGAAAGCGTCCAAGAAGCGGCGCCCTTTCCGAATCGAAGGAGCTTACCCCTATATAAAAATGTCGCTTTTAATCAAGTGACTATTAATAATTATCTTACAGCATGTAAAAAAATATATTTTACCGAGAATCCAATCACGAGCCTGCGTTTCTTGAGGTATGACTCTAAAGTCAAAGAACCAGGCTTCTCCCCATGCCAGGACAAAGGACGTTAGAACCAGCAGAACTTGAAAAACAGGCTGACTACTTTGCGACCACTAAAGAAAAATATTTTCGAACAATTTTAATCGGCATTTAATGTAAATGTGATTGAATTGGACGTATGAGGAAACTTACGTCAAACAAAAAGACTTTGGCTATGAGAAAGGCACATGTCGCGGTAGTGGACAGCTGAGAGAGAATAATAAATAATATATTATCAAATTAATTGATTAAGTTTAAATGTAGAATTTCCTTGTTACTTACGGCTATGATGCACCAGTGATTTATATACAGTAGCCCATAAAATAGTAACAAAACCGTAAACCTACATACGGCAGCCATCTACAAATAGATTCATATATAAACTATGATGTTTTTAAAGTTGATCGTTCAAAACAGATACACCCGTTCCTTCGTTTACGCGCAGCAGTATCCGTCGCACGTGGATTCGTTTTACGCGAATGAAAGTCGCATAAATAGAGTCGATCAGTACAAAGGAAAACAAAATATTGGAAAGAAAAGCTGGTACAAGTTTTAGAAATCGCTGAATAATCATAACCAGCTTGTAGAAAACAAACACTGTGCTGGTTAGTTACTTTTAAAAATTCTAGGAAAATATATTTTCTGGTTGCGTAAATTCAGATCGCCTTTGAAAAATGCCGTGTAAACAGTGTTATAACTTTCCACGTAAATGATGGGAAGGGTGTATTTCATTTTTCAAAACCTACCACTATGTCGAAGAGTGACGTTTTGATTTGATAATGAACAACCTGCTTGATAAATGCCGTCTCCACGTTATCGCCTGTTAGCTGAAATTTTTTGTGAAAATTAAACTTTTCGTTATAATAATATTTAACGAGTCGTAGAGAAAAAAATATAATTTACCGTAGTACAAATGAGCCACATCAGGCACGTGAAGAGTAGATCAAATGTGACAAAGAGACAAAAGAATCTTCTCACATTTGACATTCTACCCCGATGTCTGGCACCCGCGATGAGATCCTCGCTGACGACGATGTCCGGAGTCCTGTTAACGCTATGCTGGGTAAATGAACTCCTCTGGGACTGAACCGAACCCGTTAAAATTGCTTCGGCTGCCGCCCTGATCTGACGGTCTTCGTCTGACATTTTGTACAATTTTCAAGCTCTGCAGCGACGACCTGCAATAAAATTAGGAAACGCTAGAAAGTTGTTATTAGAATTTTCAATTTAGAAATTAACAAATTAATTTTAAACAACTATATACGAGATAACTTTACCATAGATGCAATCGTAAAAAGATAACTTTACGTCGAGGAAGATCACTGATTTCACATCGGCTAAACTCGTTAAACAGCTTGGAGGACATTTTAATATTGAAGAATGCGTCTCTTAAAAAATTTCTTATATTCATCAAGGTTATAATTATCAAGGAAGTGAATCGTAAGCGTCACTCGCTAATTTAGCCATTTTTAAAAAGAAGCTCAATAATTCATTTATAAAACAATAACGCTCCGTCTCCATTTTGGATTTCAAACATTTTCTCATTGACCGTTAACAGAAACAATTCGACCGACGATTTAAATATTTCAGATTATTTGTTCACAAAGCCAATGTAACATCATCACCATCATTTGTGCAATAAAATGTATGGTTAAATTAATCACCTAAATATCAATTAAAAGTGCCCATAAATTTGCGAATTTAAATGCACACTCCAAGCATAATTTATATAATTTTTAATTGAGCAATCCGATCCAATTGAGGCAAATGATCTATAAAACTTATGTTAGTCTATCTGAACAGGAACACAGCAAGGAAAACAAATAATAAAACGTCTTGTTATCGTCTTCAACTAGGAAATGACTGCGCGACTTTGTTCTCCATTCAAAAAGCATTGAATCGGGCTGCCTCAAACATCTCACGCGCCTAATCACGAGTTACTTAGCCTTTTAATAAGTTTAGAATTTCACAGCGATCCAATGTACACAGTTTTGTCATGCTAATTCAAATTTGTGAGAAAAAAGTATTGCGCAACGCATCGTTATTCGGTAATCATTCAACATTTCGTTTTCTAATTGACATGCCATTATAAACTATCCAACACGATTAATTAAGAGAATCTTGTTATATGTTCCAATTTACACGTCGTCAATTCAACAACGTAATAACGAATGACAGTGACATGCAATTGTATTACGATGTTCCAATATATATTCTACATATATGACAAAGGACGGATACGTCATTAATCGGCTCAACGTTGTGTAACAAAGTCACTGTATATTTATTTATTTATTTATATAACTTACACAACTTTCGTGAGAACGAACACTCATACAAAGTATTACTGCTACGGACGTCATACGAATGTATACAGATAAATAATATGATAAAAAAAAAATTCTCTTTTAATTGTTTGCGGTCATAATACTTCTTGGTGCGGTGCACATCTTGCTGGGAACATCCCGGATTTCGACCTCAAAGAGTTAAAAGTACAGAATAAAGTGTCGGAATATTTATTGGAATTCGAAATAATTTTTATTTATAATCTAAGAGCAGATTTTCCACGTTTTAATTTAACAGTCGTGAACTGACATTGAAAAAATTGCTTCTTTATCAAAGCAAACGGCCATGATCGTTGACATCGAGGACGTCTCGACTTTGTGATATTGACAGGATACCTAACCTCAACAAGTCTTAATGTACGTGAACGGAGGTACTAATTAAATCATGGTTAAAATATATTGTCCGAAAAGCATTACGATTAAATAAACGTTGGCCGCATGATATCAACATTAAATACGGGACACGTATTTTCAACATAATCGAGCATTTTCTGTTGTACAGAAAATATTGACTAGCACTTTATTGCTTTACCGTTTCTATGTTGTCAGGACTCATGAATTTTGTCTCCGTATCGAGACTACTCTCCACGGATTGCTGCACGTGAACATCTTGTTGTATCACTACTTATTGTTATACTATTGTGCATTCGTCTACTAATACATTTTTTCACAAACGCATAAACACAGTCTCAAGTTGATAACTAAAACTTTTATGTTAGATTAAACACTTTAGAAGTAACAAGCACCGTGCATCAAAACTGCCACTGGTGCCATCTTTAACTAGTACTGTTGCCAACGTACCGAGTATCGGTAAGACAGAAATTAGTAAAAAAAAAAACAGGTATTCTAAAAAGTTATATGTAACTTTTTTATATTAATATTACTTTTATTATTTACAATTAAAAAAATATAAATTATGCCAGATTCTGATTATATATATAGTTCTCCACCATGAAATGCGTTTCAATCTTTCTAATTCTAAAATTAATTATTTACCTTTAAATATTATAAATATATGACATTGCAGATTATCCCTATATGGTTTTTGAAATATAATATTTCATTCAGGTACGGACACTAGTTCTAATCCAATCCATTATGCTGTTCCATTCGTTCAATCCCTTTCTGTATATAATTACAATTCACTAGTTTGTCACTTAATAGTAAAAGATGAATAAGATTACAGCGAGACACTGAAAATTTTGTTCATACCTATAGTGCTAAACAAAGGTTGTCCTTTGGCTATGTCTGTTAGTTACACATCATGGAAACGTTGTTTTTGGATTAAAAAAGTAAAGCTTCACTTACAAACGTTTTGTCTTCGCCAATCTCACCAAAACTGGTCGCACTGCATGACTTTTTTTTTGTTTATTCCGGAAGTACGATTGTTCGCAATGCATCTTCTGGATGAACTTCCAATACGGCTATTGTGCCGTCGTTAAACGGTACTGCTATTCCCCCATCGAGAACCAAGCCTGCATCGAAGCACTGTGAACGAATAGTTAATTTGTTACAATATCCTCGTGGTTGAATATCCTTCGAAGTCTGCCAGGTGTTAGTGACTATCATATCTCTGATGGAATAGCATAATCTAGGATCCTCTGAAAGAATACATTTGTTAATATATTTGTTAGAGAAATAAAGAGAACTTTATGTAATTTTCATAGAAACTCACCAGGAGGATATCGTAGCTTCTTATTATATGCTTTACATATTTGCTTAATCTCTTCGTCAGAGTATATTTTCTCTGGATTTGCTTCCTTTAGGAGCTCCTTGATAGTCTGTGGCGATAAACTATTTATTGCTGTATGCCAGGAAGTTGATCCTGTTCCTGTGCTCACACACAAACCAGAGCTCTTTACTTTGTAAAATCTCTCCTCGTTCTCTAATGTCATTTGCAGGGAGCTTGTCCTTGCCGATAAAGATTCACCCATGAATACCTGAAAATAGATAATTATTTAATAGTTTTTATACTTGTCAATTAATAAGTAATATAAAAGTACACTTACTTCGTTAAGCGCAAGCCAGGGTAATCGCCTTTCGTTTGGCAATTCAATACTTGGATTTGTTTGCGGTTCTTGATGCACATAAAACCTACAGATGATTAGACGAATGTGATATTTGAAATTTAAAACAGTAATGTCAAAACTCAATTAGCAGGGGCAACGTGCACAGGATAAATAATTAAGGAAATGAAGCAGCTTCACACTAAACAAATAAAACGTGCTAATTATTAAAGCGTTCACAGGATCTTGGGATACGTATAATGTATACAATATATAAATTGGCAAATTCGAAATCAATCAAATGACAGAAGGGACTAATGGTTTTAAAAAATTAAAATAAACCATGCAACGGAGAGTCGAGAATCATTCGAGATTTACCAGTTTACATAGTTTTTTTCCATGGCAGAGTCTTTATCAGTGCAAATCTGTCTGTACCTTTCTGCACAGGAATATCTTCCCTTCTCGTGCATGTGAAAAGGTGGGTTCCATATTCCTTTACCCTTAAGGGTAATCCTTATTCTGGTCCTCATGAGATATCTAAACTGTCCAGCCTTGAGAAGTTCGAAGATCTCTGGTATCTTTTTAGTGTATTGTACAGGCAGCATGAGGAAGCCCTCTGAAGAAGTTGGATCTGAATTTATACCCATGATCGGTTTACAATTATCAAATATCAAGTTGGATGCCAGGAGAAAAGTCCCATCGCCGCCAATAGGTAAAATAAAATCGGCCCAGACGAATGCACGATGATCGAGATTGAGCCTGAAAGAATACAAGAAAATATATTTTAAAAAATACATGAAGTAGAATTTCTCTTCTTGTAAAAATACATTCTTTTTTACTCACCTATTCATTATCCTGTATTCTATGTTCATCTTTCTCAAAATCTCAACAGTCTGATTCTCAGCCGTTTTATTCGCATAATGACTAGCCAACATGGCATCGTAATTTGAACCTCTGTCTATAAGCTTTTGCTTAAGCTCGGACTCTTTTAAATTAGGTTCACGAAGTTTTTCAAAATAATATCGTGATATTTTGGCTAATATTACAACCCTCTTTGGTACAAAGCTGGATTCGCATCTGCGGAACACTTGAAGATTCTTGTAGGCATTCCCATGGTAGTGCAGAAGCTGGAGTGCACCTACGCAGAATATATATAAATTTATTTCCAATTTTTTATCATTAAACAATTTTTAGAGGCAGACTTGCTCCCATCCATGTCTGCCTTAATTTTTTCGCAAGGTCGTATTATTTTTTTAATTAATTGTCAATATCAACATTATAAAAGCAGATAATTGCGTTTAGTTGAGAAACAGTCGTATATCATGTGTTTTACGAATTTAATCTTTGATCATTTGACAGATACGGGTCAAAAGTGCTTCGAGTCGTATCATCTCGAACAACCAGTCATAACGATACGAAAAAAATGTATCACATATGAAATCAGCATGCATACAGAGCAGTCACGTGCCGGTGACAGTATTTCCCAATTAAAAATTTTTCCGATGTGCATGTCGAGGAAAAATGTTATTTTATATAGAGCCACGACGTAATATCGTCAGTGATAACTCACTGAACATAAACGTTATTTAACCTTGCGAAACGATCATAAAATCATAAGCATTACGGCGAACTGCGTGTATTCAAGTTATTAAAGTGATAATCTACAAACGGTTAGCAATATCATTTAATGATTATAATTCGATACACAGACCACCGATCATCTACTCAAACGACCAATTCCAAAATGTCAATAACTTCTAAGATAATCACGCGGTGAAAACTCATTACTTTATACGAAAACACTACCAAAACAGTGTTAACAAAACAAGAAAACTGAAGTTAAATGCGATAAAGGACTGTCAACAGTATACATACACTATGTTTATTCTTATATCCACGGTATCTCGAAAGACAAACAAAAGAATGTCAAAGGTTCACGAAGATACATATACAGCGGCAAAACATTATACGAAATAAATATCGTGTGCTATGTTCAGGAATGATAATTTTATACAATCCATATTAAAAAAGCTGCTGAAATTTGTAAAATTGTTGTCAACGTAAGTGTTAGGTTCGTTTGAATGTTGGCGCCACAAGCAACCGTGATTGCGTCACCGTTGCCAAGTAATAGATTTTTTCCCAATAACTGTACACACCTACAACAGTGTTCACGCGTTTCGCTGGACGGGATTAATTTTTCATTTAGATTAATCCTGATCGATATAATCTATAGTCGTGTTGAAGATATAAGAGTGATCAGAGAGAGATGTTATATCGCGATGAATGAGGCGACTGTTCCTCAGAAAATGATTTCTAGGTATTGCAATTACTCACGAGTACTTTCTCTTAGCAGGTAGTTAAGATTCGCCATGATGACAACGATGACGGTGACGATGATTCTCTTGAACGCATGTATCTCGCGATGATGAGGAATGACACGATGCGATAGACAGTAATACTGTAAAAGCGTTTATAACCTCTGAATTGGTTCCGAGGCCGGCAAGAATACGAATAGAGTAGTGGGGATACCGCAAGGCACTCGATAACAATTGTTCGTCATAGGACGACGAAGTGCAAGAGCGGTATTTTTGAAAAGGCATTAAAAAACGCATGAATTTCAATAAGTGGAAAGAAAAGGTAGGTATGGTTTCTTGACAATTTATTCATATTAAAGGTGTTACATGACAATTGGAAATCTCGACCTACGGATGGTAATCGCACAATATGGCGACGAATTGTTAATTGAAAATTTAATTCTCTGACAGAATTTTCACGTCGATGATAAAGTTCGCGATTTTCTTTTCTCTCTCCTCGATACAGACTAGAGTATCTGTATTTTTTATAGGCTTAAGAAGTGCGAACCTTTTTTTTTCTTCAAAGTTTTAATCGAGACGACGAACATTTAACGCCAGTATTATCACTAATTTTTAACAGTAGCTGACGCACGCGTGCATCATTTTTATATCTTTTCTAGATTCTCTGGAGGTCAATTAAATCTGACTGCGATGTGAATGAGCATCAAACGCGAGGAAGATAAGAGAGCGTAAAATCGTTTCGCACTAAACGGCAAAGTTATTTTTTTTTCTTCATAATTGAGTATTTTCGTTATGGTTCGCTTAACGTTAAACGATCTGCGCACAAAGTTATTTTGATATGACTCGTGCCGATTTAAGGTTCTCATCAGGATTGAGTAAAAAAAGATAATTTCTCTCTTTTTTTTACATAAATAAACGAAAGTAAATATTTATGAGAACTTAAGTGGAGCTGTCGAATAATTAATTCAGCACTCCTCGTTATCCGTTACGAATTTTTGTTAATAATGACGTAACGTTTCGTTTACACGCTTCGCTTACACTTTATTAATTCATTTTGCAATACATTAATTAAGTCTGTTTAAATAGCATTGTGAGGTTACCTAACGTAAACCTTCGTTTTATACTATAGACAATCATTACCTTCTAGCTTAAATCATCTCTCCTGTATTTTCTCGTCACGCTTTTTTTTTATAATCATAAACCGTAATTGTTATCGTTAATCGTTATCGCTAGAACTATTATCAGTTATCCGTTACAACTATTCGTAATATACCGTAAGTTCGACGTTAAAAACTAAAATCCGTATAAAAAGCGTCGTTATTCGTACTAACAATGTAACTGTACTATTTAAACAATATAATTGAATCTTAAAAAATTATTTGTTTTTTTTTTTCTTTTCTTGTTCTTGTCTGTGTGATATCTAAACGCATCTACGATCACCGAACACAGGATAGACGCGTTTACCGAGGATGCATATATATGTATATATATATATATATATTGGTCAATTTTATTATTTTTAATTTTGAAAAGTCGGATTCTCGTGAATTCAAAATAAAAATTAATCAACGCCTTGGAATTTTTCCTCGGTATACGATTCGTTCCTCGTCAGTTTCTCACGTAGACGAATTTCTCTCTCGGCATTTAGTATTTAACTCGTGCAAATACCATTTATATTCTCTACTGAATGTTTATCGGTTTATCGTAATTGTTAACTATAGTTTCGCCATATACGCTACTATAGTTCGTTATGATATCGGCAATAATTTACATCAATTACATACAAAAACGGAAGGGGACACCGTAAAGCGTTTTCTCTGCGTATTTGAATGTTAACATTTAACGCTTTACGATTCTAATAAGGTGAAGCTGTGTTAGGATTTTTTACAATCCAATTTTGAATCAAACGGAAGATCCACGCATTAAAGTATTACTGAAAATTCAATGCGTTTCGTATTTCTTGTTCGCAGAAATAATTTTCTCTTTTTTTTAAGGTTATCTTGAAAATTAACAAAATAAAAAGCGAAGAACGCCCATCGTTTCATCCTAGTTCGATATACCCGTACGTATTTGGTAAATTCACTGGACGCAGTAATTTTGGATGCGCTGTGCGACTTCCGGTACTGAACAATGACGATCAATATTCGTTGTAAATACATTCAAAAGAACATTAGTTGTATGTAGCAGAAAAAAGAATAAGATACGAAAAAAGAAAAATACCGGTACGTAACAATTTTTTGACATATTATCAGCCGGTACGGTATTACTTTTTCAAAAGTAAATTTCAAAATCGATAAATACCGGGACGTCATTGTAGAAATGAAATTCTTGCGAGGTGTTTTCAAGCGAGAAAAAGCATACCGAGGGAAAAAGGCGCACGATTTCGAAAATAAAAAAAAAATATATCTGACGGTTCCTTCTTGCACTTGTAGATGCGTATACACATACACACACGTTGCAGCTTCATTCATACACGTACTAGATATTTCCGGCGGAAGTATCACACATTTCATTTTCGACTAACGGTTCAGCAATGCATCGCGCGTTGCGCAATTTCTTTTACATTTTCTATACAGCGAACCGATAATACCGAACCCGACGACTGCCGACGTTGCAACAACAACGATTGGAAAAGTGTCAAGAAAAAAAAAAGAAAAATAAATTTTTGAATTAAGTTCACTGTCTTACATACGTATAATAAAAATGGAGTATGCGCAGTATCATATAAGGCGTTGCGTGTACAGTGACGTTATTTAAATTGAGCAAGATTAATCATTAAACATTAGCGCCTTACTACCAACAATGTTAAACTTGAACAAACTTTAGTAGAGCTACTCGAACAAAGTAGCATGACTGACAATGGGTCCACTATTATCGAACTTATCGTAAGTCGTCCAGTTCGGATAAATAAAATATTTTCATTTAAATTCGCTCACTCGCACACCATGCAAATCCTCGAGCACTCCCTTATCTAAATTACATCTAATCAGCGCTTACTGTTAATTCTAATAAAAAGTGGAGGTCGGATTCGCAAAAGAAAACAACAGAGTCACGCTTTTCTCTACAACGCGATGAAAAAAAAAAAAGTCTAATAAACTATAAAAATCCGTTTCGTTCGTGTCGTCGGTGTTCGCACTTGAACGTATTTTTCATTTGTGTACAATCGAACAATTATAAACTGTACACTTAATAACTAGACCACTTCGACTTTAAAGAATACTGATCGATAATTAATCGAATGCTATTGGAAAAATCTATTTTGGGCTGAATTTCTTTATCTTTCTTCCCCTTAACTAATCGCATCGATCCCTGTCATGTCCGATTTTCACTCTCTCTAAGCTCTCATCCTCTCTTTCTCGCTCTCGTGTTCACCTTCAAGTATAACCGCGCGCAAATTCTGGCAGTGCGCATGTGCGTGAAGAGAGACGCACGGTAAGCGAAGGAAGGATATGCCAAAAGAAAAAAAAGAAGGCAAAAGAAAGAAAAAAAAATATAATAACAAGTGGAATGGCGTTAAAATCTTCGTCCCTCGAGTAAAATATTTTTGGGATTTCGATCCGTCATGAATTCTTTCCTTTTTTCATACGTAATACTCTACCAACAACGTTAATAATTCTTAACGTGCTCTGTGTGTCCGTGGTTGTGTTTTAAAGGATTAATATATATGTATACCGTGTCGTGTGTATATATATATATATGTAAATTCTACACGTGTCGATATACGTGTATGTCCTCTGTGTCCCCTGTGTATACATATATATATATATATATATATTTCTCTTTTTCACATTTAATTACGTTTGCAAAATATTTCTTTAACCGAAAAACATCGGCCTCGACAATTAAGCCTATATGATACAACTGCGAATTAAGACTCTCTAGTCGATTTAGGCGGAAGTAACTCGTTCACTATTTCATTTTCCGGTTTCTCTTCTATAAGTACAACGACCGTTAAACTTCACTGTTCGCGAGTTCAATCCAGAAGAATCGAAACGTGTACAAGGGGATCCGCTCTCCCCGCGTTCCACCAGGAAGCCTCGTGGAGAAGACCTAGATAAAATCTCCGTGAGCATAGGTCGACCTTGTCACCCTTTCTTCCGCAGCATATTTACATAATCCAACGAGCATCGAACATTCGTCGCCGTTGAAAATACTCGAGGAGCTCCATCAAAAGAAGTCTTAGACCTTTTTGACCTGGACCTCTTTAAAGCCAGATGCCAATGATTGGTCCTCCAAACGGATCCCTGTCCGAGTCTCTATTGCCTGCAACACACAATTATCCGAATATTTGGTCACGTCCACCACTAGAGGTCCAGGAGGATGATATTCCATTAACAAGTCTGAAGGGATAGAAGGCGTCTTGAAAGATCCTTAATATAATCCAGCGAGCCAATGACGAGCAAGGGGTTAGATGAAACTCACTTCTAGTAGTAGAAGTGCGCAAAACTGTTGCAGCTGTTGCGTGCGCGAACCGAGCCTCAGCTGTGCGTTTGCGTGTGCGGCGGCGGAGGAGCACCAGTGATTTCCATCCAACGCATCTCGAAGAAGCTTCTCATGCCGTGTCCGGCCTTTCCCACGGGACTGTCGTCCTCGTTGAACACCTCGCAGTTGATGAACATCTGACGTACGTCGGCGCAGAACTCGTCGCGTGATTTGTACCTGGAAGGTCGAGGGCTTTGGTTGAAAAGTCGAAGAGACGCGCCAGTCTCGCGGCGTGGTTAATATATGTATTATCAGCGTAGCGGTATCAAGACGTACACAGAGTCCTGGAGCTTCTTCTTGATCGTACTGAGATCCATGGGCGTCTTGATGATCTTCTTATACGTGGGGAACTGCTTGGTGTTCACCGGTAAGAGAAACGGCCAGGCCTCGTCCTGCTGCTCCAATTGTTCTAGAAGGAGCTTGCACGGTGCCAGCTCGCGCTGTTGCTTTTTCGTTAACGCCCGGCTGTTCCCCTCCTTCCTTGGCGAGGCTGTTGGCGTCGGTGGTTCCGAGGAACTGACGTCTTCGACGTGCGTGTTCGATGCCGTCGAGGGCGTTGGACTACGACGCAAAAATAACAGAGAAATCATTGAAATGATGCTTGCGAATGATTCGATGCGTACCGGGTTTTTTTAACTATGCTTCTCGTATGGCGGAAGCTAAATATTATTGGGTAATACCGTTCTCTGGACGGGGCGGGGTAAGGGGGTCTAATGTATGTTCTCCAATTCGTGAAGACGGACACTGTCACTGACAAACACAGCTACGGCAAATGGGATTGAGATTTGCAAAGAGAAAGTAGAGTAATTTTAAAAACGTTACAGGTTGGATGACAAATTTCGAAACGATAGGAATTTTACGGATGTAGGGCACATGGATATTGAATACGAGCGAATAACCTTTCAGTGCGACCTTATGACCTAGGAGGAGGCAGTGTATTCCGTAACGAGGATAGTGTTTCTATGAGATTTTTCAAGGCTTTTATCAAAAGCCACCCAGGGTATATGTGTAATACGTATAAAGTAACGTTGATAAAACGTACAGGGTGTCCCGACGGCCGATAGAACGAATCTTTGTTAAGATATTCGGATTGCACCCTTCAAACCCGTAAGAGCCATCGAGTTAGGCACTTTCCCATGGCACCTGTAACGTGGGGGAGTATACTGCGTCTGGCCTCTCGTGGAACACCCTGTATGAAACAAAATGCCCTTAAGACAAGAAGAGCGAGAGTAGAAGGCAGAGAGCGAGAGTTAGAGAGACTGTGGTAATTATTGTTTTTCTTTTTTTTATCTTTTCGACGGATTCTAAACGACGCTTCTCTGGTCTCATACGTTTTTGCCGACGGATATATCTTTTTGTTAACGTTTCTTTGGTGTAATTCTTTTGTCTTACTTTACTTTCTTTCATTCTTATTGTGTCTGTCCTTCTTTTTTTTATGTATCGATTCATCTCTCTCGGTATAACACACACAAGTCGGTTAGAGAGTGGCGCATTGAGATCAGTGTATAAATGATTCGTTCGGTTTGAAATGTTTTATTAAATCGGGATTACTTTCTTATCATTCTGTCGGTCGCTAGGTATCATTAAATTAAGTTCTTTCGCATTTTTTTTCGTAATCGTAATTATAAAACATAGTAAATCAACGAGCTGACACGTTTGTTTTGGTTTGAACGTAATCACCTAGCTGGTGGATGATCGGAACTTTCACTGTCTCGGGTGCCTCCGCCTTTGGTGTGACTCCTTCGACTGCTGTTTCTCTTCTTTGGTTGTTTACTGTGACAATTCGAACAGTACCATTTTCCTCGCGGCATCTGAAAACATGTCACGGCGCATGCGCGCGCTCACTTAAAATGTTTCCCAATAGGAAATTGATTGATTAACGCTATATGAAAATGTTCATTGCACTGTCTAGGTAATTTCTTTATCATTATACAAAATGTTTAGCGTAATTTTTAAAAATCTTTTTTCTTTTTTCTTTCTTTAACACTCACCTTGGGCATCACAGGATTGTGACAGTCAGTATGATAAGCTCTTGGACACAATTCGCACAGGACCAAATTTTTACCGACCCTTTTGCCGCACACCAAGCAATTTCTCTCTCCCGTCGCCTTGTTCATGCACTCGTGACAGTACCTGGAATCGGCAGGTATTTTCATTTATTTTTATTAAAAATTTTACTTAATTATGTCTCAAGTAAATAGTGCCAGTCCTGTCCTGCCTTCCAGACGTTAATTCAGTCTTGGACGAGCAGAATGACTGTTCACTTACCAATCACCATCGGGAATGTTTTCCATTTTTGGACGGAAGCAATAAGTATGGTAGCCGCGGTCACAGCCGTCGCATAGTAATAATTTATCCTCGTTGTCGCCGCTGTGACAGAACTGGCAATTCTGCAACAAGAAAATGCTCATCGATTAAACGACGGATTTGACTCTTCGCCCATGGACGCGCGTATGCTTTTATTGCTTCGCCAATTTTTCGTGTTGTGATTTTTTCGTGGATTTTGTGCATCTTCAATAAGTGTACAGGACGAACCTTTGGGTATTCGACGCTTTCGTGACATCAATGATTTGTTAATGGATAGGATTTATTTCTCTTGAATCTCTAAATAGTAAAATAAACGTCGAGTACCAAAAGGAATAAACAATTATTGCTAAATACTTCTGGATAGCGATTGTATTTTAGTCGCATCCACTCAAGCGAGTTTGCATGCTGCCAAAAAACAGTATAAAAGAGAAAAAAATTCAAGAGTCAAGAAAAATAAAGCTCATAGGGAATGTATGTTGTAAAATTAAAAAAATATTGCAGACTTTCAATCTATGCTTTCAATGTGTTAAATAAAGGCATCGTTCATATGTAATTTCAAATGACATTGATTGCACACAACCGTCGCCACTCGTTAAAACTCACTTGTTTCTTATGAAGCATTATTTTACATGCAAATATTACTAACTGTCACTAGGAACAATTGAAACTCGAAACAGCACCAAAGCTCTTTTTTGTTTTAACTTAAAGATTAAGCATAGCATAACTTAAATTAACGTACAAGGAAAATGGAATAGAAATGCGGTATGATTAAAGATGGCAATTAAAATCATTCTGATTAATTAAAAATATTTAGACTCGAAAATGATTAAGCGTTGAGTCAGCCAAGTATCTTTTTGAAAATAAAAACAAAAGATAACAAGAAAAGTAGCAAGCAGCTGTTACTCATCGCATGCTATCGTTAACCGTTAGTATATCTCTCAAATATTATTAGCTCTATTTAACGCGTTCACCAGACACGTAGCTCGGTTCTGTGTCGAGAAACGGTACGATTGAAAATTACATGAATACTTGTGCATCGTGAATGAAAATAATAAATATATACTTGAATAAAGTACATACATATCGTATATAATATGAATGTAGCAAGTATACGAGAACCGCCGAAACTGCGAGCGTCCTTAAAGACAACGGTGACAATCAGCTGCGATAAATTTAATAAAACTGTCAAAGGATTTCATGGCAATCGAGACCCTCGCAATGAAACAGAGCGAAACCGATTTGTTATCAAGACTTTTCTTCCTTTTCTTCTTTACCGAGGAAAACGTGTAAGCCAGCCACGCGAGACAACGAGACACAATGCAAATCTTGTGAACGACTATTATCACACTAATAGCGTATCCACAATTGGCGACAATTCGGGCTGGTGAGGGAATTCGTATGTTTGTAGTGATGTGCGCGTAACGGAGCAAAGGAACGCGTTGTGCACGAGCCTTAACGCAAATGTTAATTAGAACTCGTAATCACATTTCCCGCATCGTATCGGATCTCGAGAGTGTCAAGTGATTAAGGAAAAAAAGAATAATGATACTTCGCGTCTAGAAACATCTCCCGACACATTGAATTTGAAGAGACTCACACTAGGATTTTTTATTGAGGCGAGATCGTCGCGATGTGCGAAATTTTATCGCGACGACTATTCGCAAGTCCCAATTCTTATTTCGCAATGGAAAAAGCCGGGTTATGTATTATCGATAAGAAAGAATTAAGCGAGCTTGATTAATTAATTATAAAGATTGATTTTAAAGAGGCAGAATGATAGGAGCTTGCGAATGGTACGCTCTTTCGGGAAATTGAACACTGGTCAGGATGGGCTCTTAGGTGGGGCACGACGGACGGATTCGGTTAGTAAGTTAGTGCGAATACCCACAGAGGCCTGAGTAGTAGTCAATAGCTGATTGTACTGAGTGGTAGCTTTGAGTGAGACGCAGCGGTTTCGTAGCTTGACGCAGACCGAGTTTCTAGCTGGTGTTAGACTCACAGCCTTCATGATGCTCTTGTCCCAAGCGATGCTGGCTTCGAGCATGTAAAGTGCCATTGCAAGCTGTGCCGAGGTGTGAGCCCGGGCTGTGGCTTCGCGCCAGTTGTTAAGACCTCTTGGTGTTGTTTCTTCTTGAGGTGGTGGGGCCGCGTTACCCTGGTCCAAGCTGTTCAAACTGGCATTCGCAGCGGCCGCTTGTTCTGCTTTCAGAGCTGCCAGGTTTGGATCTCCCGTGCTGTAGGATAGAACAAGGATGACAGTGGATATTAATACTTGAAACTTAAAGGCAAAGTATTTGGTTAAGTTAGATTACTTACCAGATGCCTAAAGGAGGCTTCAGGTACCTCCTTTCTATGGCAGCTTCTAAGGAGAGTAACCTCTGTCTTGCCTGCTCGACTGCACTGATCTTCTCCATCTCGTTGAGTTTTTCAATCTCTTCGGCCTCCTCGGTACCGGCCCGTGGAGGTAGTTTCCAGCCTTTGACCTGCATGCTGGCGTTCGCTACCTTATCCTCGAGAGCCTCGACTTGTTCCAGAAGCTGAGCATCCACGCGCAGCGCGACCTGCTCGCTCCAGTCTTCTGGACGATCCGGTCTCGGGATAGGGTTATCGTTATCCTCGTTATCTCCGGTGAGCTCTGTTGCTGTTAAGTTACCAGGATCTACGTGGATTTTACCGGTGACTGCTAGGAACGACTCCATCGTCGCCCACGTTGTGCGCTTTAGTTCCTTCTCTCGTACTCCACGTGAATGAAGATGTTCTAGCAGTTCCTGGAACGTGTCCACGTCTGATATCCTCCACCAGCCGTATCTTAGATCTGAACAAATTAAAGATTAAGTATTAATAAGTCGTAATATTACACTGTGATCAATGTTTAACAAAGTTAATTTATTTTATTACCTTTTGGCACTGGCTTCGCTGCCCCAGGTGGTGGCAATCCGTGCACCTTCATATATTCTAGCTGAACAGCTTCGTCCTGAGTAAGAATCAAAGGAGCGGGACTGTCACATCTGTCATAACTTGGGCTCGCTGGCGGAGGGAATACTGGTATCCTGAGTTCTGTGGGTTCGGCGATGCCGAAGATTTGCTTGGTACTAGGTCCAGGAGTGTCACAGGTTTCTCTTGGAAGTATAGAGAACCAGTGGGACTCGCTGTTGCTACCTGCAACAACATATAGAACCTCAGTAACGACTTAGAGAACTGAAGCTGTTATGTACAAAAAAAAAAAGAAATATACCGGAAATGAAGGTTCCATTTAATTCTTTTCCATTGTGAAGATTATTGACGTGATTGAATTTGTCTCCGTTTGGTATTGTTTCCACGATTTTATCTTCCATAAGTTTAACAGGACGCTTGTTTATGTCTTCCTCCATTTCCTCCTCCTTCTTGGTCTCTTCCTTGACATCCACCTCCATTTTAGTGACTTCCGTTTCCTGCTTTATCTCTTCGGATGTGACATTCGTCTTAGCATCAGCCATGGTATTTTCAAAGTCATTCTTAGTTTCTTCCTTCATTGGTTCCACCACCTCTTCCATTACAGAGTTCTGCACGGAATCTTTCTTACAGTTCACTTCTTCAACTTCCGCCTTTATTTGTTCGTACTCTTGTTTAACTTCCGCTTCCACTGTGCCCTTTTCCATCTTCTTCTCTTCTTTAACCTCGTTATTAGGCGCTTCGTTCTCCACATTATCCGTGTCGACCTTAGCTACCTCTTCCTTGACCTCAGGCTTTTCCTCAAGAGGCATATTTTTGTACTTTTCGTCGAGTTCCGCCTGGAGATCAAGTATCTCGGGTTCTGCACTTTCCATGGCTTCTAGGAAGATGCCACCGGCGCATGGAAGTTCCCAATATCTTCTCCAGTACCTATCCTGACCAAGCACGTGCGCACGAAGTTGTTTCGAGGAATTGTTCAATTTCTGAAGCTGCTCCTCGGACTGCTTCAGCAGCTTATCAAGTTTCTTGCCAAGTTCCTCACCCGACAAATTCTTGTCCTCCTCCTGACAGATGAAATCAGAAAAATGACCCTAAATCCTCCACGTAATCAAAACCCTAAAGTTAATATTTTACCTCCTCTGGCTGCGTCCCTTCACTCTCGTTCTCAGACATATCCTCGACCTCGTCTTCGTGATGGATCTCCTCCGGTGTCGGAGTCGTACCCACTGCGGTAGACGTAGTATTATTGCTCTCCTCCTCGCCTTCCTTCTTCTCTATCGTTATCGTATCTCCGGATTTGTTCACGATAACCCCAACGGCTTCCATTCTCACCTTCCGGCTGTGCAACTGTCTCAATCTACAAATGAAATTGTCAATAAGACTAAATAATTAAATAACTTCGATACTACAATTACCAGAAAATACCCTGGATACTCACTTTCTGATCTTCGTATCCAATACGAATCTTTCCTTTTTAAGCTGCGCCACTGTCTCCAGGCTTCCCTCGATCTGCCTTATCACAGCCTTATTCTGCAGCAACTCGTTACATAGGAATGCCAACATTTGGGCCTTATGGGTCGGATTGAGCGCCAGGAACGGTTTGTCCCTGAGTCTCTCGGACATCCTCCAGGTCTCATTGTTGTGAAGATGCTCGTAGAACTGTGCATTCTTCCCAGAACAGGTCGATGCGTAATCACCACCATTCTGATGATGATCCGCAAATTTTTTATCCCTCTCGCGCTCCAAACAGACTCCAGTCAGAGCCTTGACCTCTCCCGTTGCATTAGCGTACAGATAAATCCTGAGAACCTCGCTGATATTCGCATGAGTGATATCAGCCTGTCTTAAACTTTGACCAAGTCCGGTAGTGTGACGTGCCGGTTGTGGAATTCCCGGATCCTCGATGGCGCAGACGAGAAGATGCGTCATAACGGATAGCATTTCCTCCTCAGCTTCCTCGTCGTTCAGCAGAGCCATTTGCAGACTCTTCAGACTTGGTAACGACTCCATATCTTCATAAAAACGATAAAAAGGCCCATTAATTATAATTTTACAATTAATTCACACAGCTGAGCCACATTCTTCTCTACTCACCGAAGCCCAAAGTTTCTCCAAAGTTGTGCAAAAATTCAAACACCATAACGATATCCGCAAAGGCTTGACCAGACAACTTCAGACCAGGTACTCTCTTCACTTCTGGTAGTGACTTGTGATCTGCAGTGATACGATATTAATAATCATACAGAAATTTATATAAAAATTCATTACTGCCTCAATAACCAATTAATACTAACCAGTTAATTCCATATCCTCAACTGGCTTCCTTATTTGCTCGATCAGCTCCATCTCGATTTTTCTTTGCTCCGCTCTCTTCTCTTTCGTCGCTATTCTCTCAGCTCGCGCTTCAAGCCGTTTCTTCTCTCGCTCCTCCATCCTTCGACGATTCTCCAACGCTCGCACGAGTGCCATGTGCTGTCGCCTTCTCTCCCTTTCCTGAGAAAAAACAAATTTCACTAAAACTGTCCACCAGATTTCATAAGATTCGCGAAAAGAGTAACCAAAAATCCGCAGGCTTATCGATCCCCATGCCAGGGAGGACTGGAGAAAAACCAACGATTAATACGAGAGAAACGACATCAGTGTGTAAGAACCCCAAACAAAAAATCATTTTTACATTTGAAAAAATAATCATTCGATAATAAAATTTTGAAAATTACACAGTTCCTTGTCACTCCAAATAAATATACCGTGTATTTTCCCCTTATCAATATTCGTTTCTCGTTAATTACCGTAGAGACCTGATATAAGGGGTGTTCAAATAATTCAATATAAAATACCAAATCCCCACCCACCACGATAACAGATAAATCATGTGAGTAATTAAACTACAATACAGTATCTCTAACAGTATAATATATCCAGTATACCTCGAGTACAAAATGACAGTATGTATCAAGAGATAATGATGACAAAAGAAAAATATACAACACCGTGCAGAGATTCTAAAGATCATTTCTATGATTATCCGTACTACATGGCCTGCGCGCATCTCTGTGCAGAATAAAAAATAAATAAAAACCTTCTACTCCCATATAATTTTTTTATCGTGTCTCACTCTCAGCTCCATTTACTTCTCTAAACCCGCGATAGTCGACTATCTCCGTAGCTTCCCAAAGCTTCCAGAAATTCAAAGTAAATCTCCACCACATCCAATAAACAATGGCAATGCATAATGATCGCTGTACTCTAATTACGTGAGATTCAAAAGAAAATATATATATATATGTATATTCAAGACTAATAAATCGATCCGATGGCGATTTAAATATTAGAAGAAAAACAAAATAAACTAGACACTTCTTATCATAGACCATAAAAAAAATTCAGAGCAATATATATATAAAAATTAGCTATAAACAGTCAAAAACGTTATCGCGAATCAATCGAAATGGCCTGCTGATAATCTCGTACAGAAAGCAATATGCACGTGGAAAATGGCAAGCGACACAGGGTAAAATGCTACCAAGGATCGTTAAAGCATGAGTGACGTAGGTCAAATGACGTTTCAATGAACCCAAGGCCAACATGTTTAATAGTTTGACAACTTTCCAATCTGTTAAATCTATTACTTTTATGTGGATTTTCCAGCTCGATATGGACTTTTGTCTGGACGAAGAAGGTTCACAAGACAGCGGGGTTTTTCGTATCTTTAACAGCAGGGATCGATATCGGTGCGTTTAATCGTTAGGTGCGTTGTCAATGGGATTAATGAGTGGTTTTTCAATGGTGAGGTTAGGTTAGGCATGAGACATACCAGCTCGACGGTGTAGAGCATCTCGCGCTGCTTGCTGAGCTCCTGCATGTACATCTGCGGCACAAAACACATCCAGTCCACCAGTGCTCAGACCACCCCGCTAACATTCAAACTAATAATCTCTCGTTGCCTATGGAAAATCGCCTAGTAACATCGTCTAATTGCTACGTCGACTGATAACCGGTTTGTTGGAAAACAAAATGTTGTTTTGCAAAAGTCAAGAGGAAACGAGAGAAAATAATTATTAAAAAAAAAAAAAAGAAAAAAAAAGACGGATAATTTCAAGAAAGCAAAGATAGCTAAAGAGTCGACGAGGAATAGAGAAAGATACGCGTTTGAAACGTCATCGATAACGACGTGGAATCACGATTTACAAAATTATGGGAAAATAAATTTTTTTTAATCGTGAATCCAGGACGCTTTTCATTAACGATCTAAGTTCCTGGACATCACGTGATCATGAAAGAAATGAGTGACGATGAGCTATGTTATTAGATGTCAATGATCTATTGGCAAATGATTCTACCTTATGTTTGGTTTTGCCTTTTTGTCATTTTTTTTTTCAGAATTTTTAGACCGTTTTTTTTTCCCCTCGATTTTGAATATTAATTATTGACGTTTCCGTGAGAATATACATACGGTAACAGAAGCAATGAGAAACATAACATCGACTAGATCTACGACACACATTACCAATCTACTAAATATGATGATGAAAAATTAAAGAAAAGAAAAAAAAAAAGAAAAAAAAAACAATTACAATCAATGATCGGATATTTGTTATTCTACGTCCCGTTCGTTACTCACCTGTTCCTTCAACATCACTGCCTGCTGCCTCTTCAACTCTCGCTCCTGCAAACAGCAATCAATACGCATATCTTAGTAGTGATTAAATATTATTATTTTTTTGTAATAGCAGTTTTTCGTCTCTGGCCAAAATGAACTAAAAAAAATCATTGCATACCTGTTGCTTTCGCTGTTGCTCTTCCAATCGGATCTTCTCCAGTTCTTCCTGCCGTTTTTTCCGCGCCTGCGCACATGCCACACACACGTCACTCCCATCCAATTAATAACCCTTCGGTAAAATTCGTCGTGAACGCGGGTCATTGAGTGATAACGATCGGGTCAAGTATCCGTAATCATGGAATATTATATGAGTGAACTTACAAGATTTGTTTTTTGTACAAAATTTGTAAAAAAAAAAATTTTCAATCATTTTTCGCAAGTTTGTCAATATTCCGGCTTTACGGTGACACTTGACGAGATCATGGAAGCGTAATCATTTGTACATTGTGCTTGTGTGAACCTAAAGACGATGTTTAAGATCGGTATCGGAAACTCGATTTTCATTTTTTTTTTTTTTTTTTTCGAATATATTCGCGAAACTCGACAAAACTATCAGGAATAGGAACGCGGATAGGACTTGCTCAATAATCATCAGGAAATATCACTAAAGTGTCTCGTCAACTGGGTGTAATTAGCATGCTCGAAAAAAATGCCACCCCTAAAAGGAGAGTACGACGAACAAGTGACAAGAAAAATGAATTTTTTTTTAATCCGACACGTTTGAACTTTATAAAAAAATTTACGCGTTACTCAAGCGATAAAGCATCTAGAATTGAATTTGATTTCAGTAAATAAAAATTTATTTTAAAAATGATTACTAAACTCCGTTTAAACTTTTTTTTTTCTTTGAAAAATCATGAAACAGGTCAAACGATTCAAATAGGCATTGTCGTCCTTAGTAGAGAAAAAAAAAATTGAAATGGGAAATAAATAATTTTCGAACGATCCTCCAATCTTTTGATGCGATCAATGCTGCTCGAACTGCAGCGCCTCTACAGGCCTTTTTAAAATACCCGTGAACAACAGACTATTGTTCGAAAATCATGAAATTAGAGATGAGAGAGAGAGAGAGAGAGAGAGAGAGAGAGAGAGAGAAACGAGCTCTGAGGCAATTCTAGTAAAAATAAAAGCAAAAGCTTCGATCGCAAGGTACGATTTACCGTTTTAAAAACGATCCGACAATTTTGACAAATTCAACAAAAATTCTCAATTCTCATTTTCAAAAATTCATCAGATTGTTCTACGGTACGTCCGTACGCTTCGGTACAACGATCGAATAAACGGCCAATCAATAAACCAAACGTTACATAAGTCAGGCGTGTGTTCTGTGCGCGTGTATTTAACTCACAAATTCGAAGCCTCGAAGTTCCTGACGACGACAAAAGGACGTCGTCGTACAAATCAGCAAACGAGTAAAACAAAATTGTGACTGAGAGACGAACCAAAAGAACAGAAAAGAAAAAAAAAATTCCTTTCACCCAAGACCATTTAAAAAATTTCAAAGTGCATGCATTTTTTTTTTAAATTACAATGTTCACAATATATTACAAAATTTTTAAATATCAAACTCGAAATAGGGGGAGACCAAGCGCTTAGACGCAAGATATCCCAAAAGGAATTCGACAAGTCCAAAAGTCGTAAAAGAGACACGGAAAAAACTAGAATTATAAGAAGAAGAAGAAGAAGAAGAAGAAGAAGAAGACGAATAAAAAGTACAAGTTTTCAAAACGAGTAATCAAATGTTTGCTATAGAGAAAACAGTGAGAAATAGACTCAAGATCGAGTGTGACTACTGTGACAAAAAATTTCAAGATTTCCAACGATCTATGGAAAAAACATCGAAACACGAAGAATTTTCAAGAGCGAAGATCAAGAAGGTGAGATAGAAATTCTTTTTTTTTTTTTTTTTTTTTTTTTTTTTTTTTTTTTTTTTTTTTTTTTTCAAGAGCGCATGCACCAAAGTGGGGGACCCAAGCAAAGTGGTCGCCTAATTATGCACATATGGTGAGTATAGTAACCGTCGCTTAAGCTTAATACACGTTAGATGAATGATTAATAGAGATACAATAATAATAGTAACAATGATAATAATAATAATAATAATTGTGTTTATATTAAATATAGATATATTACACGTGTCAGGTATGTATATATATATAGATATAAAACTGTGCGAGCCCAATTATACATCCACCTATATATTAAACGTACAGCGCGATATACGCCATATATATAGATATAACGTGTGTATAATCACGCATTTAAAGTACGTTCATTCATTATGTAATATATGTATACTTAAAAGCATGGCATGCTGGATGATATATAGCTAGCTGTTATACATAGTGACAGGAGAAGCTAGGCACAGGATAGTGTTGCGGCTGTTCGTATCGTACCTACGTCATTAATCATTAAATGATTTTCCTCTACCATTTAATTGACGCCATGTCGTAGGTCAATTAATTTTCATCGCCGTGTAACGCGTACAAAACGTGCATTTGCAATTAGCAAATGGCGGGCCAACGTGTCAAATGGTGTATTAGAATTGTTTGTAAGATTTTACAGCCAGGGTGAATAAATCCTGATGCCGAATCGATTCGAATTAATTTCATTTATCCACGAGTTATAAAGTTATCTAGAGTGAATTATGAGGAATGAAAATTATCAATATATGTGTGTTTGTATATAAATATATATATATATATAGATATATGTATCATAATCAGAATATATGCGCTCAAGCCACAACCTGATTGGGGCTGTGAGAGGGTGACAAGAATTTTATAGTCAATTTAAAAAAAAAATAGAGCAAATAATCCTAAAATCTTCGTATCTTCCCCTCTCTCTTCACCCTTGTCTCTTATCTTTCCGCATCGATGAGATTGCACAGAAATTAAAAAAAAAAAAAAAAAAAAAAAAAAAAAAAAAAAAAAAAAAAAAAAAAAAAAAAAAAAAAAAAAAAAAAAAAAAAAAAAAAAAAAAAAAAAAAAAAAAAAAAAAAAAAAAAAAAAAAAAAAAAAAAAAAAAAAAAAAAAAAAAAAAAAAAAAGTCACCTGACAAAACCTGCATACCTTGTCACGCTCGACGAGTTCAAATTAAAAAGGTAACGAGAACGTATTACAGCACGTGCATAGACGAAGAAATGGCTGTAGAATACATTGTAGGTACACACGGTATAATAAACATAGTAAACACTTATCAACGTGCTCGTCGCGTGTAATACAGTGTGTGTAACGTGTATCGTGGGTAAGGGGCGGGCGGAGGGGATGGATGGAGGCGGAGGAATTTAAAAAAAAAAAATGAATTTCCAAAAGGGTCCTCAATGGGATAGGATACGTCGGTATTTGAGACTACAGTATATTTTTTTTTCTTTTTTTTTTTTTTCTTTCTATAAGGAAATTTCTTCGACGATGATAATAATGATGATGATCATGGTGATGAACACTTTGGCAGGGTGAAAGGTCAAGGACGGGGTCTCAACGAGATCTTACCTCCAGCAGTTCCTGATTTTGCGTTTGAGTCTGGGCCTGCTGGGTGTTGTCCTGGTTCTGGACAGGAAGAGACGGTAGAGGTAGCGACTGCGGCGGAAGTGGCGACGGTGCTGGTATCGTCGTAGGCGTCGCGACGCCCATCGTCCCTCCGGTGATCTTCTTCGCGGTTTCGAGGTCGACGTCGCTCTGCATCATGTCACGATTTCGCCAGCTCTCGGCGATGCTCTCCCGGTTCTTCCAGATGGTAGCGACGGTGCTGCTGGCCAGGCCGAGTTCGCGGGCGACGTCGCTCTTACTTTTCCCACGCTCGATCTCTTGGATGATCTTCATTTTCTGTTTGATCGTGAACGCAAGCCGCTTCCGACCCTGCATTCGCATTGCGGTAGCCAGTGGCTACTGTCAGTCCACGTGGCTAATATTTTTTTTGTCGCTCTGATTGCATTTTTTCTGCTTTTGGTTCGTTTGTGTGTGCGTGTTGAGGTGGTGGTGGTGGTGGTGGTGGTGGTGATGGTGGTGGCGGTGGTATTGTGATGGTATTCTCTTTTTTTATCTCTCTTTTTTTTTTCAATTTTGCGTGAAAGGACTTTTTGGAAAGGTATGGGAAAGCCATCGCAGCTAGCGGACTCAACTCATATCCACGTTTCTGATTCGCACACGTGACTGGACTGTGCTGCGATTTCATTCGATTACGATTTATATATGTAGCAAGACCAAATTCGTTGAAAAGTAAAATTTACGTTATTTATAAAATTTATAAAATCATGTGCGTGAGATTTTGGATTTTAAAAAAAATGACCAAGACAAGGATAATCACAGCGCAACCCAGAACACCAAGGATCACGTATCCGAAGGACATTCGAATTGTCAATACTGTCAACTGATGACAACAATTGGTCGCCGCGAACGATCACTCACGTCGCGTATCAAAGAGGTCTTTACGATTTAAAAAAAAAAAGCAGGTTTCTCTCTCTTTTCTTTGTTCCCGTACATTGTAGACAGATCGGACAGACGGCATGACATTAGAATAATTTATGATAGACCTATTAATTGGCGGAACGAGTCTCTATCGAATACCGACGTTATTGTTATTGTCTCTTTACTCACGAGTACGCACCAAGAAAGCTAAGTAAAAAGAGGTTTGAACATTTTTCTCCTCGACAATGAATACCTTCTTTTTTTTTTTAAAGTCACTCCCCGACGAGATCTACAAATTCGCTAGGATCGTCTACAGAGTACGCAGGGAAAACAAGAGTTTCTATCTGTGTATATAATTTATATATGCACAGACGTAGAAAATAATCCTTTTTTCTTTTTCCTTTTGTTCTCAGTCGGTTTTGCATTGCCATCGGGTTATACAGTATGATTCAGCTTAAACGTATTAATCAAATTCGACGATAATTATGCAATTAATTTTCCTTGATATCATTCACTCGTTGCGTTAAAAATTTTTAAATCAATTACAGAATATTGATTTTTTTAAATTTTTCAAAATTCAACCTCTCTCCCATCAAATTTGATACACGTCATCACTGAATATCTGTATACTCAAAAATGTTCGGGACGACGATCATTCTCGGCCGTACAATTGAAAACAAAGAGAATGCAGCTTTGTCGTGATTTAAATCAATGCTTTCGAGCTCAAATTAAAAAATTGTACGAATATCATATCAGAAATTCTCTCGAGGATCTCGGAAGTGAGAAAGAAGAAAATTTGACGTTTACAAAGAAAATGAAAAAAAAAAGAAAAAAAAAGTAACGAAATCTCGTGGTTGAAAAATCCATTTTCGCGACTCAACCTCGTCGTCCCTTTTGAGTTCACCCTGGCGATCCGGTCAACCGGAAATATGTATTTCGTGGTGTCATTCCGGATATGAACGTGACGAAAGCGAGATGCAGCACACGTTTCTGTCAAGACGATAATGTTCAAACGGAATATAAAGAAAAATAGAGGACATGCTGGGCTCTCCTGTCACTATCGCTAGCGTTTTGGTTGATGGAGTGTCGTGTTGTGGGACATCTGGGTGCGAATACACATACTTATACAAATGTACTATATATATGTACATATATAGATTTATAATATATGGACAGGTATATATATATACATAAGTATACACTATATATGTATAAATATATAGAGAAAGAGATAGAGAGAGTCTATGACGCCTAGTGGTTAAAGGAATATACGGCACACAGAGAGCATGCGACACGCACGGCAGGTGGACAAAATACAAAATGTATCCCAAGAAGAGAATAGTCGTTATGAATGAAACAACGATCGAAACAATGACAAGAGCAAGAAGACTTACCTCGAGGAGTTGTTGATTTCTTATTTCTCGTTCTCGCCTCACGGCTTCCTGTCTCTCGCTTTTCTCCTGCTCCTTGATCAGCCTGACGGAAAGAGAAACACGGAGAGTCTCATAGTGCAATTTCTCTGGGGTTTTTTGTTTTTGTCAAATACTTTAAATAATTGCATATCATTTACCTGGCTTGTTCCTTGTGGCGTTGAGCTTCCTCCTTGGCTAGTTTTTTCGCATACGCCAATTTGTCCCTTTCGTATTGACTATTGGGTCTGACGTCCCGGAAGCCACCAGCCGCCCTCAGTTCCTCTAGTCGCCTGGCGACTTCCTGGGCACCCAGTCTGACGAATTCGGCCTCTGCCAGACCCATCGTAGGCTGCAGAAACTCGCCGACAAGCGGCCGCGAGGAAAATGAGAAGTTTGCTGTGGTCAATTCTGCGGGATGCTGCTGCTCCAAGAACTGGAACGATTACGAACTCGAGTGACGACTGTTTCTAGACTTTATTAGAGTTTAATTGGGTGAATGACGAACCTTTAATAATTCTGGACTGTTCCTGAAGGTTTTCCCACAAGGGCTATAGTAAGAAACGTCACCCTTGATCACTCCCGTCTTTCCCAAACCCTTGATCACAGTTTCCCTCTTCCAACCGCGGTCCAGTGGTACTTGAAGATCCTTGTCACTAGGGTTAAGCTTTCTTCTCTTAGCACTCGGCGTGCCTTCCGCGTTGTCTTCGTCCGTATCTGTCACGACGTCGGTATTGCTGCCACTCTCGCTGGTCACGTCCATGTTGCTCTCCTCGCCGGAGACCTCGAGGAACTTGTTCTTCATCTTCTCCTGCAAAGAACGCTATACATGGGGAGCACGATTTAGTGTGAAATAATAATTAACGCAAAAAAACAATTCACTGAGGTGATCTGCACCCTGAAAGGTAGATACGCGAAAGCTCAAACTATTCAGAGAAGAGAATATCCAATGTGAAGGAAGCACAAATGAAAATTTTAAAGAAATTTGTAATAGGGTAATGTAATTTAAGAAAAAAAACCTCAGTCCTTTATACTCACTTGTGATTTGTCGTCACCCTGACCCGTCGTGGAAGCGTGCAACTGAGCCGCCAATATGTTTGACCTCAGCAACGAAACCTGATGCGACAGTGGTACACTGGGATCCAGAGTAGGTGTAGGTTTGATCCCAAGCGCTCTACTCTGAGCTAGAAGGGAGGCTACGGTATTCTTCTTAGGCTTGGAGACACCTCTGCCAAGGTTCCGCGGTCTCCCATCTTTATGATGAGTGGTGGTGCACTCACTTTCCTCGCTACCGCTACTCGGCCGTTGGGGTGAATCCGCAGCGGCGAAGAGCTGCGCCAAGGAAGGACTCGGAGAGGCTGGTATCGGTACTGAATTCTGAGGTACTCGCCTGGGCTTAGGACCTGGTTTTCTTCGTGCTACAACAAAATCCAACCATGAAGCATATATTAAAATCCTATATAAAAATTAGAACAATTAAATTTTATCTCTTCAAAATACTTACACGTTCTATCGGACGCCAACAAGGATTGACTCAGATTACTGAGCTGGCTCAGGGGCTGACTCGACGTAATTGGCGAACTGCTGCTCGTCGAGGCTGGTTTCAGGGAAAGATTCAGCGGCGCATCCGAGTCATTCGAGTTGGTAATATTGCTGGTTGTGTATGTCGGCGGTGCCGAGAGTACGGAACCGTTTGTCGAATGAGCTGGTAGCTTTATCACCTCCACTCGATCGACAGAGTCCCTGTACTCGTTCGCGTCGTTCTGAAGGATGGAAAATATAATATACTCATCGCTCAAGACCCAACGATTCATGAAGAAAGAAATGAAGTGATAATGGAACGTTAGGGGGGCCGCTTAATAAATCACAAAATGGCTCGTACCCCCGAGCGATTGTACTTCCGTGGTTCCATCATGAGTGACGTGGTAGTATTTGTTTGATGTGCTGTGAGGGCAGGAATCGAAGGTGGATGAACACTCACGCTAGGAGTATCCAAGGATATGGTCTTCTTCCTGCCGCGGTTCGTAGTCCCTGGAATTTTTGGGCCCACTATGCTCGACGTGTACTTGATGATCTCTGTGTCGGGTGGTAGTCGCACGCCGCCCAATATACTGCTAGGATCACTGTAAAATAAAAAAAAAACATTCGTTTAATGTTCTATTGATAGAAATGACGATTAATCAACTTTTTTTTTTTCTTATTGAATATTCAAATCAATTCACCTTCCCTCCTTGGCGGTACTGCGAAGCAGCGTGTAAAGGAAGGAGAGTCATGTTGCCAATTAATGGGGATCTCTTGGTAATATTAATCGACGTAAATATTTTATAATTAAAATTTTAATAATGCGAAATAACTTGTTGCTCATTACCTGACTACATTTGTCTGCGTGTTTGGCGTACTGCTGACAGAGGTACTGTGATGAGAAATCGGAGCCTGACTGATAGCTAAACTAGTGCTCAGACTTGCAGGCGTTGAACTACTGCTGCTGCTGCTGCTGCTGCTTGCTGGTGTCTTGTGACTCTTACTTGACTTAGCTGTGACGATTAACAATTTATTAAAATAGAATTAACGTTCAATTATTATCCATAGGACGTTCCTTAGTCATTGAACGACTTTTTATTTATGTATCGATATACTTACACTTACTGGACTTGTGGGATGACAGGGAAGGTGGGTTGAGTAGGTTGGCAGGATATGGTGGTAGCAAACTTTCGGCTCCTGGTGGAAACCCTGGCAGCCCTGCAGCTCCCTGTAACCTGGCGAGGTAGTCCTGGGCTGCGAGATGCGACGCCATTGTCCACCATGCTGCACTTGCAGGATTAATACCTGAAAGGGAAATTGAATTTCAATTATTTATAATAAAATCGAGCCTGGCCTTAGTATCTTTTGCTATTAGTTATATTTAAAGCTAAGCTAAAACTTGATAACTTCTTATTACCTAGACTGGCAGCTTGGCTAGCAGCTACACTGAGGGTACCCAAGCTGCTGTGGGAGTACGGCGGCGGTGGTGGTGCAGAAGCTGGCGTGTGACCCCCAAAACCGGGTGCGGATCCTCCGCGGCCCAAAATAGCGTAGGCCGACGGCAAATGGTGGGCCCCCAGGCCGTAACCACCCGGCATTCCGCCGAATAGGGACGAGGCTGCGCTGTCACCACGCGGCCAATACGCTGCAATGAAAAGGAACGTAAAACGTTAAACCGGCGTCATAGTTTACGTATCTGGACAAGAAATTCAAATATACGTTAAAATATGTAATCGGCAAAGAAAGTCAAAATAATTATTTCTAACCTCTGATACAAAGAGCAATAAAAGTTTCATATTATCATAATTTTTTACTTTGTCGTCAAAACTCATTCGCCCCAATCAAATTCAATTTTCTATTGATACCTTTCATTTTCATATTGCAAGAATTAAAAAAAAAAGAAACTTGAAACCGACCATCATATCACAAATTGTTTTGATACCTGAGACAGAAATCTGATGGAAATCGCAAAACTTAACCACCATTCGGTTAAGTTGCGAGACATTGGCAAAGTTCAACGAGACTGACGCGTCCCTGCATCGAAGCCATTTTCTTCTCTTCCCGCACACGTCTCAACCCCTTCCTAACAAATAAGAAGCTCCCATCCTACCGGAAGTGCGGTACAAAGAGGACGAACCATCGCGCCAGAATACTCTTGCTTGACGTTGTACGTCGCAATCTTGTCGCTAACAAGTACGAATTAACTTTGACCTCGATGAAGGATAAAACATTGGCGTGTCCCACTGTATTTCCTCGAGGCGACTAGAATTTAATTGCCAATACGCAGAGTACGCCTGGCGTCTATCCGCTACGTAAATTCGTTATTGCTTAATATACGATTCCTATAAAAATTCGATAAGAGATACGCGTAGTCGACCACATTCAATCACCAAGAGTAATGCAAACAGAGCGTCCCGAGATCCCAGCGGCCATTTCTGTTTATTCCTGGGCGCAAAAGAACAGCCATATATTTCACGTACACAAGGGTTCACAAGAGACACGCAAGAATCTACCGAGTCTTTATAAATACACCAGTGGAACTGATCTATCCCATTGATTAGTTTACGTCATCTAAGAGAATTATGTGAAGCCGCAAGACACTGGAGGTACATGACGCGATTAAACAGTCATTCGTAGTGTCAGGGTCGTTGGGCATAATATAAAGTGAAATGAGATAATGAATGACGATCAGGTGTTAATTACGTAACGTTATGAAATAATATTCACCGAATTCCACTCGTCGCTCGACGAAATCAACGACGTCCAAGACGCTGCATTTTGGACAATGGAACGATGCAAGTTAACGGACGAGGATTATTTATTCCTGAAGTGATTATCGGCCATTGTTGAAGTATCAATCGTGAGGTAACACTGGATTATCACTGAGAGAGAAAACGAAAGAGAATACGTCGATAAAATGACGAACGAGTCTTTCTCTAAAAGAGGCAAACTTTGAAACTGAATATTTTATTGTCGACTATTCTTCCTTCATCATTTTTAATCAATTAGCTTTCTTTCCTTTATTCTCTTTAAGCCATTTCTACGAATCTCGATATATCACTCGTCGAACAAGTCGCCGCCGTTAATACTTCGTAAAAGAATACACGCGTTCTTTCGTTTGAAACTACACTCGAAAGCATCCAGTGTCGCACCCTGGCGACTAGTAGCGGCAACTAGACGGCCGCCATTCGAGCTGTAACGGTCGAATCTCCGTGGGCTCCTTGTAACTTACGACGTCGCGGCGCAGAAAGACAATGGCACGGTCGAGACTTGCGTCACGTTCCACGTGCACGCGTTACCGCCCTTTGATAAGTAATAACGTAAATACATATAGAGGGGATGATATTCTAATCTTCGAGATAACAGAAAGCCTCGGCGTGGTCGGAGAAAAAATGATTGAGGTAGTGAAGTAAGGTTATAAATAATCGCAAGAGTATACGCTCGCCAGTTTATCGCGTAATAAAAGTACAAGAGGAGTAAACTCAGCTGAGATGAACAAGGAAGCAAAACCATATGCAACAATGGCGGACGTGAATATCGCCAAGTCGACAAACGTAAAGGACAGGTAAAAATTCATGAAATCATTTTTGACGTCTCGTTTTCTCCATCTGGATTTGTGTGTATGTGTTCCTGAGGACGTTGTCCGGTAAGCCTCTGGGGTATTGGTTAGCAAGAGTATACACGAGGGGTGCATAAAATCATTTAACAGAAGAGGGTGGAGAGTGAATCCAGGATGTATAACAATACGGTATACAGGAAGAGAGGAAGAGAGCGTGTTGCTGGTGTATAAGCATAAAGGGTGAGTTGGACGTACACTCGTTAACCTAGAAAACGACGGCAAAAGCAGGACTGACTGACTGACTGACTGTGGTTACCTTGCTATTCGCTCGAGTAGTTACTAACCAATCTTACAAGAGTATTCTAGGTTAGGTTGGCATACTGCGATGCAAACGATCCGGCCATTCTGATAATCATCGTATTGGAAATGGCTTTGAAATCAAGGCGTAACTGTACGTACGTGCTGTATATAAACTATTGAGAATCGGTTGTCTGTCGTTTCTACCCTGCCGAAGATCAGTAGAATCAGTGGTAAAGGTTGTCTCAGTTATATTCCACTATGCTGACAGAAAGAAAACGTTCGTCGACCTCTGATTTGCCATCATGAACGACGAGATTAATTCAATCACCCATTTTCCCACTGGACAGCGATTAAGCGCAAGTTACAAGTAATATCATGTACCTTCAAAAAAAAAATGCATATCCTCCTGAATTATGTTCCAAATTTTTCTAGAGACTTTACGAAGGCAGAGGAAATAAGATGCTTGGCAGAATTGTTTGTCGACGAAACCCATAAGTAATTAGCGAGGATCGATCCTGGAGGCTTTCTAAAGTGTCTCTTAGAGAGAGAGAGAGAGAGAGAGAGACGCCCATGTACGTATATATATGTATCTATGCACATACAGCGTCCCCGATGGTTGTTACATAGTCCGTAGGTTGGCAGACCTGCCCTATGAGACGCCCATGTACGTATATATATGTATCAGCGAGGATCGATCCTGGAGGCTTTCTAAAGTGTCTCTTAGAGAGAGAGAGAGAGAGAGAGAGACGCCCATGTACGTATATATATGTATCTATGCACATACAGCGTCCCCGATGGTTGTTACATAGTCCGTAGGTTGGCAGACCTGCCCTATGAATCATCGCAGTATCCCGACAGCCGAATGATCACCCAGCGTACACGAATGGAATGGAAGCTCACGCGGCATTTCGTTGTGCCTGAGTCAGAGGGAAAATGGCCGTGTTATTAAATCGATCGGTGCCTCTGGACAGAGCTCGTTCGCCGACCGAAGAAAAGAGAAGAGTAGGAGAAATAGAGAGGAAAGTAAAAAATACCAAAAAAAAAATAACAAGTACCTATCTTCGCGAGATGATTAAACTGCGGTTTGCTCGGCCGGTAATGCAGAGAGGTATATCGTTACTCAAAATTGCAACTGACTCTATATAATTAGACAAGGCCAAGGATGACCTCGATTGATAGTCAAAAATTGAGGTATGCACTAAAGGGAACACGTTCTTTCTTTTGCTCTCTCTTTCTCTCCCCCATCCCTCTCTTTCTCTCTCGCTCACTCTCTCTCGATGCAAGTTAAATATATCGTGTCTCCCCCTTTCCCTATCGCTCTCTCTCTTTTCTCGCTTCATACAAATCTTCTTTCTCCAGTCTGCATAGCCGACAGTAGAGGAGACGCTCGTCTCGTGCGAGCGTTAACCGATCATGAAAAGAAAAAGAAAAATGCGTGCCGTGATCTGCGCGAGGGATCTCGGCAGAGTCCGCGACACGAACGTGGCTGGTCGGTAGGAGAAAATAGCCTGGCAATGGCGGCTGAGGAGGAGGAGAGCAGCAGCAGCAGGAGAGTAGAGAAAAAGGAAGCCTACAAAGACGAGTTAGAAGATTCGTGGCATACACAGGCTATATGCCCTGATGGTTAGTAAGAGGTTGGTAGGAGAGCTTATGGCGAGTCCACAAGGAGCATTCTTTTTTTTTTTCAAAAGGTAAAACAGTTCGGACGTTAGTCCTGCACCTGTGTGCGAGTATTCGGCCAAGGCAATGATTCATGGCGTGGAAGGAGCCTGAGTGGGAGAGCGATGGAGGGAACGCCGAGGAGATCGATGCTAACGTATAACGAGAAGTGTAACCTAGCGTTACTGGATGCACTTGAAGTAGGCGTTCAGAAAGACCGTGTGAATTTACTCAGAGAGAGAGGGGGATTTTAAGATAGTCGTATCGATACGATAATATACAGTGCAACACAGGTACTACACAGAGAAAGGACTATTGAGAAAAAGTAATTAAAAAACAATAATAGAATTGTTTAGCTTAACCTCAAAATAATATAGAACGTTAATCAGTTTTCAGTTATACTCCAACCGAAAGTTGGGGGGAGAAAGTGAATGGCTTCACGAATTGGAATGCCCCGTAAGAAAAGAAGGAAAAGACCAGATAAGAAAATTGGCGCGTTCCCAAATCGGATTAATTCGGTTCGCGTTTGGAGACCACGTCGCCATGGCGGCTACAGCATGGACGCTTCCTTGCACCGTTCGACGAAACAACATTTTGACTCAATCCTAGCCCAAGTAGGTGGGTTCTGTACACCCCGATTGAATTAACAGTGAATAATTCATGAATACTGAATACGTACAGTATCCATTCGATCTCGTGATATTCCACGGATCTGCGTCCGACATATTTGGACCTGGTATCGAAGCTGAATTTTACATATATAGACATACATTAGATGCATCCTTCATCCGTGGCAGGATGAGGCGTCACAGACTGTAATCTCTGATCCAAAGAATTCTTATTCATCCAATACCAATCCGGCTGGACGAACCTGCTGGACCGACCAGGTAGTCAAAGTCCTTCGAAAGATAAAGAGTCTCTCTCTCTCTCTCTCTCTCCTTTCTCTATCCTATCTTTATCTTTTTCTTTCTTTCTTTTTCAAATATAGACTTCACCATGGAGCAGCGCCCTTCTTTGTTGCTTAAGCCTTAAGCTATTCTGCGCCAGTCCGCAGCGGCTCAAGGCTGCCAGGAACCACTTGCCAACGGAAGACAACAGCCCAAACCGCAGATGCCCGGGATACAGTTCGTACCAAGTAGATCCCCGTGGCAGCTGGGGACTTCGATTGCCACAAAACTCTTCGTGTTTCCTCGAGATCCACTGCCAACGATATTCGCCATCGCTAGCCAGCCATTTCCACGCTTCAGGGTCAATAATTTCAAACCACTTTCCAGAACACGAAGGCACGTACCACTGTTTGGACGGACTTGACCAATCTCCGGAATGCCCAGGAATACCCCGTACACACCGACAAACCAGTCTGAGCTCCCATCCAGAGGTCCTGTATCAGCACTAGCAAAGCTACACGACGCGTACAGTCAATTAGTACGTTCGTCCACGTATACGGTAGATCTACAGGCACGCACGCCGAATTACAAGACCGATAGAAAGCAAAGTGATAACGAATAACTATTAATAATAAAGCAAGAGAAAAATGATATCCGCGTCAAAAGACTTTTAGACCCGACGATATTCTCCTCGGGAGAACCGGACGACGACCCTCGGCCAGGAGTTCGCACTCCCCGGACCACGGGGCCTGGATACGAGCAAGGGGGATCCTCGGGAAAGACGAGCGGCAGCTTCGTACGTACGAGCTACGAGAATATAAGGAAACAAAAAAAAAAGGAGATGCCGCCCCGGGACAAGAACTCGAGACGAGGTTCTCTGCATTCCGGACTCGGCGGTTCGATTGCTCCTCTTGGTTCGCGTGAAGTGAAACCCGGACTGTACGTCGTTCCACGTTCCAGCGTTCCCTCGTTCAGAGATTTACCCACGCTCGCCAAAGGTGCACGCATCGTGCTGACCCAATTTACGACATAACGTAAAACTCTCCTACGTCAGATATGTACGTGTTCATATATATGTCTATGGAACGAGACGTTACGTAATCCATAAGCGCTATATGGGAATACGAATGAGTTGATCTTTAAGAAAAGCCACAATCCGTCTTTTTCTTTTTGTTCCCTTACGGGCGCGATACAACCGGTGCAGATAAATTATCGTTGCCGAGCTTGCTGCACGCTAAGAGGCATTATACGTGTTACGTATCCTGGTCCTCGGGTAGGAGGATAAAAATGAAATCCTTTGACAAGTCTGACGCGTCCAGGGCAATTTCATTTCAAAGTAATCAACGTGGTACGAAAAAAAAAAGGGGATGCGCAGTGGATGAGTGGGATTCGCGACATTTTTTTTTTTATCGTCCTTCCGTACCTGGACGAGAATTCCAGGATCGGAGGCGTCT